CAACAACAGCTTTTGATCTTGGCATATTAGAGTGCAACTGGCTAAACACATGAAAGCACTTGGGCTTTTTCTGAGTTAAAAAAGAAAAAAAAAGCCCCCATGCATTATTCAGTAACTCTCACTATGGGCCTAGCTGCAGATTGCTATAAAACTTCTCCTTCTTTTTTTTTTTTTAAAGGAAACCACAGACAACCTTCCACCCTTTGATGACATGTAGATCAAAAGGACACAATCCTCTCCTCCCTTTCTCTAGGAGGACTTCCATTTAAAGGCAATCCAATTCCAGAGTCAAATTCATTTATCTTAAACTAATTCTGGAACAGACAGAACTGTAAACAGATGTAGTCTAGTTTTTAGCTTCAGTATCCAGCTTTCGAAGAACTTGAGCAGCCACAACCTTTAATTTCAACGGACACTGGAGCCAGTTAGGCTAGACCATTCAGGTTCCTACCCATATTGTGTCCTAATTTAGTTCATTTTGTGTAGAATTTCAAAGTTTAAAGAGAAAGTCTACATTTTTCAAAGCTAATCATTAGAAGAAACACCTGACTCATGCACTGACAAACTGCAACAGCTGCTCCTTCCAGACACAAGCTTGACTCACTAAGTCTTTGATTTTTATATTTATTTATGAACAACAATGCATCCAGTGGCAAGAGCTTAAATAGCTGAGTGGCTGTATGTAACTAACACACAGTCTTGAGCAAACTGGAGCCAAGTGATTTCAAACTTGCTATTGCCAACTAACATCAACCAACAGCAATAGGAAGGCCAAGTATTCCCCTGCTTCAAGAGTAATGGTCATTTTGATGAATTTTTATTGTCAAGGAGAGAGACATAAGAGTTATTATTTTTCACCTGTTCCCTGCCACCCATTCACCTTTAATGACTCATCCTACACAAAAAGGAGAAAAATACAAAAATAATCCAAGCCTACCAGCCCTATTCAAGTCAACAAGGGTCTGGCTCCTCGTGTCATCATGGAGACTCTTTCCACTGTCTTGCTCCAACTGAATTTGTTTAATCCTCACAGTTTTGGTTATCATCTGGCTCATTTTGTTGTCTGTGCAGAGACTGTATGACAAACTTCCATTCACCGCAATGGGAACTCTTTGCTGAGTGATCTGATAGCCAGCCTGTCAACAAAATTAGCTTCATAATCAAACAAGCCACTTTTTGAAAAGCAGCAGCACAGCCAACTGCAAATATTACAGACCAAGAACAAAACTGAAAATGCAACATCTTCCGTAGTGACCTATATAAGAAGATAGAACACATGTAAATTCAGAAGTTATTTTGCTTAGCTGGAAAGGAAGCAAGCTAAAAGATGGGTCTAGAAATCAACATAAGTGTGAGAAGCTGGAAGTCTAGAAAAAATAAAAGCACTCCTCCATACAGGCAATGCAGAAATAATCAATAATCGACTGCACAACTACTTGCCAGGCATTACATGAATTTCACTGACACTGCCTGGGGACAGGAAATGGACTGGAAGAGGTTCTTCCATGCCTGTGGTTCTGCGATCATGTTGAATCTTGTCTGAAGCCAGTTACTGTACCTCCATCCCCAAGCTGGGACTATTGCTCATCCTCCCACCAGGATGAACATCCCCCTCTGCCTGTCCAGAACTATACTCATCAGAGGGGAGCAGAGGGAAGGGCAGGGGTGGGGGGGTGGTGTGTGTGGAATCAAGAAAATGAGAAAGCCCAATTTCATTAATGTATCAATTTAAAACATAGACACCGCAACCCCACACAAGGTGCACAGCTGATAAATGCCACCCCATGCCTGCGACTCCACGCAAAGGGGGAGCTGCTATCCAGAAAAAGGGCTGCCAGTGGCAAGGTATTGGAGTACCTGCAACGATGTAAAAATACAGAAGTGAACCAATTACTCTGCAGAGGTAGGGACCCCATTTCTTCCTCCTTCCTAGCCTGCTCATGCCCCCAGTGGTGAGAATTAAACAAAAAGCCTGCCAGATTTTAATGAATTGGGAGGAACTTTTGCACGTTTTGCAGGGACAATGAGCTTACTCTGAAATGTAGAGATAGTGACAATACACTGGGATGGAGAACAATGGTCTGCTCCTGTGAACAGCTCGATTTATACATGCAGTGAAGTGCATGACCTTCTAGCCATTATCACTACAAGAAAAATACAATAACTCTCTGCAATCCATGCTTATCGCACAGCTCTTCCCTTCTCCTAAAACATCTCATTAAAATGAATTTTTTAAGAACCCGAAATTGTAAGTGACAATAAATAACAAGAATCCCATTTCCCATCCAAAGCCCCATTTTCAGGAGTAACAATAATCCCACTGTCAAACGACCCTAAGAGCTAGATTTATTTTATTTGTTCTACATAGCTCATTAGCCTAAACTCCGCTTTTTATTACAGGGTTCCTGACTAGACTATTTCACAATGAAATGCACGTTGGGCAGTTTATTGTCAGTGCTTAAACTGCTGAAGACAGCCAGTAGAAAGCCAGAATTACATGCTTCAAGCTAGTAAAATGTGTCAGCACCTCCTTCACCAAATTTCCATGCTTATCTGACCAGAGGATCCTGTACCTCATGTTTGCAGACAATGGCAGCCCATCTGTACACATCTTCTTCCACCTCCCTTTCTCTTCTAAACACATGGATGTGGTTTCTTTCCTACGACAACATCCTTACATATAGCTTCTGTGCAGCAAACTGATAGCAGGAGACAATACAAGAATATGAGAGATAGCTTTCAGTTTAACAGCAGAAGCACTAAAGGTGGCTTGCAAACACCTCTGTGATGTTTTTGGTGTTTCTTTATGATGTGTGAAAGAATTCTGAAAGTAATGTTTGTTTCCTACTATTCCACTTTTTTCTCCTTCAAGTCTGGAAATGAGCTTTAAGATAGTTTTACATGGAAAAAAAATAGTATTGGCAATTCAAACTGATAAATTTGCATTTCACATTCCCAAAATTCTATGATTCTAGTTCACTACAGAGCCACCAGCAAAAGGGCCTCTTAATGGCTTACAAATATTAGCAAAGTTATCCCCAGAAACTAAATCGGTAATTACATCAACTTCACAGAACAGCCACAAGTTCCCAATCTAGAATAAAACAGAGCAGAAATCTCTTCTGAGATCCAGGTCTCCAGTGGATAACTATCATATAAGTCTTTTTCTAAGGTAGGAAGCAATTGTATTTGAACATGTTTTCAGCAACTTCAGAATATTTGCCACAAAAAAGTGAAAGAGAAAGTAGTTTGGCTAATAATACAGTACCTCTACATGTTAATTTGGGACCTGAGAAATCTCCCACTCTGCCTTTCAGGATGTCAGGGACACCTCACCTAAAGAGAGGATAAGCTAACACATTTGATCTTTCTCAGATAAAATAGGTTTTTTGCTTTGATGCAGTCATCAGATCTTCACCACAAAATCAGAGGAAGTAAAACTAGCATGCTCCCTTTGACAGGTTAGGGTTAAACTGAACCTTCAGTACAAATAATCTGACAAGAAAAAAAAAAAGTTTAACATTAGAAAGTTTTAATTTCAATAAAATAGGAAAAAAGGCCCAAACTGCTGCATCCTGTTGCAATGACAGAAGTCAGGTTCTTAAATTTTATTTCAGTATTTTTACACCTGTATCAAGTGTGGCAAAATGCACTTGACTTCCAATGACAACTTCTGCACAACAAGAAAGCTACCAACAAACCATACCGCTGCAAAGACTCAGTTTCTCAGGTGTGGGGTTTTTTTTTTTTGTTAATTTCGTGGAACTACTGAGAAAATTTTAAAGGGAAATTAAATATTTCTATGTCCTAAGCACACACAGAAAAGATACTGTTATGTTTATACCACTGGAACCTGTGTTTGTTACACATTCACTTTAAATGAAGGACTATTATCAGGCTGCTTTTACCCTAACAGACAATTAGTACTAAACACCAGGAATGGAGAACTTAAGGGGCAAAGCAGCTCCAGCTCCCAATTCAATTACATTAGCTACTGGAATCGTGCAGCTAAGCAAGGAGTCAGCAATCAGAGCAATCATATTCAATCAGTGAACACCAGGGTACAACTGTCTATTCATCAGGGCACAGTGCAGCATCCTGTTGGGGTGAGCAGCACGCTGACTGCAAACAGAAAAAGCGTCTCTTCACTCATCCCCTATTGCCATCCATACTCCCAACTTGTCCTTTCCTACAGCCATAAAGGGACCAGCTACACTGCATACTTACAGGCAGATCTGCATAGAAGTAGTGTTTTCTGTCAAACAAGGACCTCTTGTTTATGCTGCAATTGAGTGCCAGGCCTGTCATCACTGCTGCTTCTACACATCTTCTGTTGATAACCTAAGGAAACATGACACATGGCTTTACTCAGATACTGAGTATGTAAAAAATTTATATCCCACACATTGCCTTATATGGAACACATACTCAATTTGCTTCCCTTCGGCCACCATTAGATCTCTTTCCTTGAGTGGGTAGCTCTTATTCGTCATTAAAGTCATGGTAGCTACAAATCTGCAAAGCTTTAAGAGGAATAAACAAGCCATTCAGCTGTTTTGTCATGCCACATAAAGAAATGTGCACTGCTCTTGCTTGCTACTTTTGCAAACATTCCAGTACTTCTGAATCTTTTAGAGTGCAGAAGACAAATCACAGCAAATGATAATTGACTCGTTACCAGCTGTCAGCTCATCCTACGAACTGGAAATAAGAGAGATTTGCATTAGGGACCATTTCAGTAAAACACCTTAGAATCCCTGTAACCACAGAACCACATGTGCATCTACACATAGAATTTCAATGCTTTGGTTAACCAGGATGAAGTTAAGCACACCAGCATGCTTTGCTAAAACAGAATCAGAGAGACATCAATTGCTCCTGCGCTTACAAGTATACACGCATTTGCAGTACCCACGTAACCCATGGGATTAAGGTTCTTGCAGGATGCCACATGATCTGGAAAGCCAGAAAGACCTTCATGAAGAAATAAAGGACTTAAATGCAGTTCCTCACCATGGACCCATGACTCTGTGCTACATACTTCTGTTGCCCCAGCAGGGTCAGGATCCAAAGGAAAAAGAAAATGCCTCCCCCAAAAGTACTAACAAGCAATGTTTCAAATTTATGTGGTGGTTGTTTTTTTTTCCAAATGTGCTCTCTTTAATTTAAGAGTTGGTTTAACTAACATCAAATGCATAAAACTGAAAAGAAGACTGAATTTTTCTTAGTACAGTATTTTGAAACAAGAACAGAACTTTACCCATCTTATTCTGCACTGTACAGCTGCCAAGAAGTCAATTTCCAGCAGGACCATTAAAGGGACACATTATGTAAAAGGATCTAGATGACTTCATCAGCATTGACCAGAACATAAAAGGCTTAAATAATGTTTTCTTCAGGGTTTCTGATGGTATTTACTTTTTATATTCTCCAGCCTGATTTCTGAAAACAGACTTCTGAATTCTGAAAACGGATTAAGCAGCTGTACATTTCCCATCATCCCATGTCTTCAGCTGGAGAAGGAATCTCTTTGCTTTACTCATCTAATATTTTAGAAAATCAAAATAATAAGAGAAAATACAAGAAAATACAAGAAATGAGAAGAAGAAACTTAAAAATTGCTTATACAGATGAGTTAAATATTTAAAACATTTAACGAGGGAACTTTCAGATCTTTAGTGTAGCTATATATGGCTAACAGAACACATCATGTAATGTTTTAAAAATTTAAAAGATACATAAAGCAAATTTTAAATGAAAAAAAAAAAAAGATCAATTTCCCTTTGAAATACTGATCCACAGCAAAATGAACACAGTTAGTCCTGACTGTAATCTAAAGCAAAATTGGGAACTAAGAAATATGAATTTAGTTCAGTATCATAGCTGCAGTTCATTATTTACTAGATGCTCCTGTTTTCAACAATGCTTCCAGGCAGTACAGATACTTATTTTTTTTATGCTTAAGGAAGCTTGTAACAGTGCTAGTCAAATTGTTCAATGTTTAAAATACCATAATATTTCTAAATACATGTGCAAAATTTCCTCCTACTAAAGTCCTCCGGCATGATCCTGTTCAGCTTTACAAATTAGGGAGAACCATACTAATCAGCCTTTTAACAGCTAGTTACCAGAAACCCAGCAAGGCTCCATAAGGACTGGCAGACTCAGACCACCACTGCACCAAAGCACCACTCACCACAGTGAGCTAGCGTCTTGCCACGTTCCCTGATGGTGCAGGGGTTGTGACTGACTGCAATCAAAGAACACGACAAAATCCAACTCCCGAGTCACAGTGAGAGCCTCATAGCACATTCTTCAAACACACATTGAGTTTAGTCAATGATTACACTACAGCTACTGCCCTTAACCACTTGCTCTTCGATTTTTGCTTCAAGCAAGGCAGAGTGTATCTTATGCATGGACCTAAGGGATAATACTGTTTTGAGGTGAAGGAAATAATTTCCACACACATATGACTTATACCAGTTGAGAAGCTTTTGCACTACTGCTGCTGAAACA